GATAATAACATTTTAATCATCAATCAACGTATAAATGTTGTTTCATTTCGGAATATTTATCAAAACTCCTGCAACAAGAAGCGCTAATACTTCATTTGCAATTCGAAGGATTTTATTGAAGTAATATATTTTATACTTTAAAACAAATTAAAACACTTTCACGGTAGTTCTAAAGAGGAAACCAGATAAAGACACGTACAGTGTTATAATTTATTTACTCTAAATACTGTTAATAAGTTAAATTGACCAGCAACTAATTAATTAATTATATTTTTATAAGTGTATTATATAATATATAGACTATATAATATAGTATTATATTATTAGTATTATATAATATATAGTATGTATATTATATACATATATGTATATAATATACATACTATATATTATATAATACTAATAATATAATACTGTTTTTAAATAGACACCCAATCAGAAAATGTCCGATCCCCCATACATGTATACATGTATGGGGGATCGGACATTTTCTGATTGGGTGTCTATTTAAAAACAAACAATGTCTATTTCTTTAAACACATTCCCTTTGTGTTTTCTCATTGGAAAGCTCTTGATAATTGCTATTTAACAGTTGTAAACAAAATACCTTTTAATTGTTTAATTTTTTAAAATAAAAAAAACGCAAAGTAATTTTTGCAATTATTTATTTTAGTAAAATAAATAATTATTATAATTAATAAAGAATAAAAGCCTAGAAGCATTGTTTAGTTTAAATAAAATTATGTAAAATTATTTTTAATACGAGAGGATTGGCCAGGTTTTCGATTTTTGTAAATTATACCAAGCATTGAATGTTTATACTTCTATGGATATTTTTTTTATTTGAGATCGGTTAAATTATACAAAAGTTGCGTAATTGTAAGTCTATTAAAATGGCATTTTATAATTAAAAAATCAGCATATTTTAATTATTTAAAAAAACTTAAAACCCTTCAATCCCAAAAATCGTTATTTCTGAGAATTTTGAAAAAAGTAAGGTTAAAATATAAACATACACATTATTCTACATTTTTGCTACTATATTTTGAGTTACCATAATGTGGTACATCATTGGACTGTAAAATTTACTTTTTTTCTAAATTCCAAGGAATAACATATAACGATAACGAATATAAAGATATTTGGTTTTAACAGGTTTTTAGTTTTTTTTTCAAATTACACAAGTCAACATTACTTTTGTCGCTATGAAATTAAAATAGGTTTATCAACATTCATCCAGAAAAAAAAATAAAATTGCTTTTTAAGTCAGGACAATGTCTTGTTAAAATGTATTTAAGAAAATATATGATTTTAATTTTTATTGACTTTTATTACATTTATATTAGCTTACAAAATATTTGGAAAAAGTTTAAAAGTAGATCCGTTTACTTTTTCTATTATGTTTTTTTTTCTTTGTTAAACCCCAAATATAGCCTCCCATCATATATTCTTTATGATGTACTTGATAATGTCATAATGGAGACGTTTAGCAGAGAGTACTCCAATCTTATTTAAATTATTAAATTTATCTAAGTGAGCATGTAGAATATGGACATATGGACAGAGACATCCTGCAACCCATGCCCATTTTACGTTTTGGATAAAGGAAAAAATACACACAATTAAAAATATCCAATTGATATGAATAAATAAAGGTATAGGTACATAATAACAATTTTTGTAACCAATAAAACGTCTAGTGGTTAATTTTCAAAAGTTTAAATATACAATACAATATTAACTGTTTCTATGAAAACTGTAGTACCACCACTACAAAAGCAAGTCTTAAAACAGGTGGATATTTTTGCTTTATTTTGATGCATGATAAATAAAACCAAAAGTTTTTGTTTTGTCGACTTGTTTTATTTGAGAAGCGCTTTTTCCCAATTTTTTAATGCTTTTTTAATGTCATTGCAATTAATTTTCTTTAATTTAACCGACCTTGTATCTCTTAAAATAAAAAGATACCTATATAAAGTAAGCGGACCTTGTGACGGACGAGTTTTTGTTAAATTTTTTGTGTTTGCAAAAGACCCTGATATTCTATCATTGGGAAAAATTAAACAAAAATAAATTTGGTGCGTATATTGTCGCAAGGGCTATGATGCAACAATAATGGGACACCCTGTATAGAAGGATACTTTGAGTCGCCAATTTTGTGATGCAACAATAATGGGATACCCTGTATAGAAAGATACTTGGTGCACTCTGTTTTATTTGAAGAGCTACAAGATCAGTTAAATTAGAGAAAAGTTGCGTAATTATAGGTCTATTAAAATGGCATTTAAAAATTGGAAAAAAAAATATCGGTTCTCAATTTTTTTTCGCCTACTATATTCTGAGTTACTACCACCATCTTTTGTTTTCCCTAAGGCCGCCATATTAAAATTTTACATGGTTAAATAGAAAAAAATCAAGGAATCTAACGATTTATTAAAATACATAAGTTATGGCGGCAATTATAAAAACAAAAGATGGTGATGGTAACTTAAAATAAGGTTGCAAAGAAATTGGACAAAAATGTATACATGTAAAACTTACTTTTTGTAAAAATTCCCCGAAACAAGAAAGTTATAGATTGTTAGTTTTGAAAGATTTTTGTTTTTTTTTTCAAATATTTTGAGAACCGCTGGCTTTGTTTTTCAATTTATAAATTTAATTTAATAGGCTTACGCTTTTTTATAATCAAACCGACCTTGTAGCTCTTAAAATAAAAAAAATACCCATTGAAGTACACATAAATGGATACTTGGTGCAACCTGTAAGGAATAAATTTGCTTTCTCCTTAAAACGTATTTTTCCTGGGTTAAAACCTACCATACATTTTTGATCTTTGTCATTAAAAACAATTAAAATGTAACCCACATGTACATAATTTTAACAAAATGGTTGTTTTAACAAAATCAAGAGTTTACTATTATAAAACCTATTATAATTATTAACCTAATGTTATATAATATATCTTATATTACAGTCAAGGCTTTAATGTTATCCCCCTGTGCTTAATTAAGTCACAAGGAAATTGTTTATCTGATTTAGAATAAAGAGTGGTGATTAAGACATTCTAGTTTACATAATTAATTTTCACCTGTGCAAGAATACAACATTAGTTTTAAATTCGTTTCCCATACAGTTGTTATTTTTGATATTATGTTTATTATTTCTAAATTTATTCAGCTGGTTTCTTTGAAATATTGGTACAAAACGGGGTTTTACGAAACGATATTATACCATAAAAATATTTATTTAAATTGGTTTACTTTATTTGGAATTATATTGTTTTTGTTAATAGTAAAAATTTTAACAAAATATATGTCTTGTACTGTACATGATGTACAATTTATTACATTACTTATGTATATAAGTTTGAATACCTAATTTGTGTATTCGCGCTAAATAAATCAAACATTTATTAATTCAAAACAACAGTGAAGTACTATAGGTAGAAGAGCAACCCAATTTAAATAAATATTTTTATATTATAATATCGTTTCGAAAAAAAAACTGTATTAGGTTAATATTCTAAAGAAACGATCTGAAAGAAATAAACATAATATCGACAATAATGCATCAATAAAATGAAGTATCTTTGCATAATAAGATATACATAGCCATTTGTAATGAAAATATATTCATCGAATTTGATGGTAATACGAATGTATTAAGGGGTGAATAAAAATTCGGATTCGAATAAATCACTTAAATCGACTCATGGAATAACATTATGTATTTAAAGAGTAATTTAATGTGATTTAACCCTAGATAAAATGACAATATTAAAGTAGCTACATATAGCAATCACTTAATTAAAATATACAATACAACATTTTTAAATCCATAAATTATGAATTATTTAAATAAATCCTAAAAATATTTTACCTGCATGATATTGATGAAAATATTATATACAGTAAATTTATATTAAAACGTTTATCAACATAAATTTAAATAAACTTTGAATTCTGGATGTATGAAAGGCGATAATATTGTAATGTCGAATATTATTTGATTTATTACTTTGTATACAAATAGGAAATGCTAAAATAAGTAGGATAAGTTATTGGCAATTTTATTTTAGTCGTGCAGTCGTATTATTTTTAAAGTTAATTAAATGTATAATATAAGTGCTTTTATTAATAATATGGCGACAAATTTACACTTCTTACAAAAACAGCAATATTCCAAAAATGTCTTGTTAATTAACTTTTATTTAAAACAATAATATCTAAAACTTATGAAGATCGATTTGTGCTTTTTAAACCAAATAATTTGTCATAAAAATATCTATTGTCAATGTCATATACTTTATGTACGTTATCTAGCTAAATTAACGATTACTTACTGCCAAAATATTAATTTAAAATATAAGTGTACGTAAATAATAATTTATAGTTAAAAATAACAATTTGGATTATGGCTGTTTTTGGAAGAAGCGCCTCAATTGTATACTGATCTAATAAGATACATAACTAAGATTAAAATCAGCAGTACCTAATAATTTTAAATAGAATATAATTAATCATTGTACAGCAGGTGAAAATTAAAAATTGTTAAATGATGCATTCGCGTGTAAGTCTCGTAAAGTAAAAAGTAAATTGTTACATCACGATAGGGCTGCTTAATTGGCCACATAACATTATATCTTTGTTGTCTGAAAAAGGACTTTTTTATTTAAACACTTTTAATATTGCATTTTTAATTTATGTCATTTAAAATTGCTGGGTTTTCAAAATACCTAATAAGAAGCTTTTAAATTAACAATTTAAATTGTACATTTTCCATTAAAATAGAAGTGCACTTTAATTAAATTTTTTGTAGATAAAATATGATTCAATATCTTGTCAATTTAAAAAACAAATGTCTTTTAAATTTTAATTTAGATTTGTATTTTCTGCATGCCAATAAAAAGTTTCTCGTATTTTTATCTCCCCTTTTTCTTGGCCTCCCCCTTTTTAATGATTATGTAAAATAATATCTTGACGCGTGTTTTATTGTTGCAGATCCACCTGAAATCACATCCAAACCCCGTAACTTGCAAGTGAAGGCGGGCGGTGTGGCGGCATTCTATTGTGCCGCCAGAGGCGACCCGCTTCCCGTCATCCAGTGGAAGAAGAATGGCAAAAAAGTTTCCAGTAAGTAGCAAAAGCTGATAATTACCCGGTTTCATCAAGATTAATACAATCTTATTAATGAGTGGTTCAGTCTTTGATTGCAAGAGTTTTTGAAAGTAGATAAAATGTATGTAAATAAAATTTTGTGTATAGCGTATACCAAAATGTGTTTATTAATATTATAAACATTTTAATGTAGTTATGCAAATTGTATTTTTTATAAATAAGTCTATAGCATTATGTCATTAATTATAGTATGGTAAATGTTTTAAGATTGTTCAATGTTAAGCTTTTAAAGGGTGTATCAATATGAACGGATGATATAGAAAATTATAAATTTTGGATTTTTATTACTTTTATGTTGACATAAAATAGATACTCTGTCATTAATTACCCACTGAGCTTTTATTAGCGGTCTTCTTAATTTTGCGAATTCGAAAAAATCTCATATTTAAATTTTAAGAAGAATTAGAAGATAATGTTAGACTGTATCCAACCAAAATTTTCAATCTGTCATTCAGACTTATTTTAGTTTCGTAAAGGTGGCAATTTCTACACGTTGTATTTTCAGTGTTACCGCCTCATCGTTTATTATTGCAAAACTGTGTTGTATTTACATTAAATTTTAACTACGGTTTCGCGAAAGGATCGAAGGGTTCAAGAAATGGATTGAAACTTTTTTACCTTATTTCTACATCTAAATGCAGTACTTTAAAAAAAAAAAAATCTCGTTTATTGACAACTTTGTTTTTATTTTTATTTTTTTCTTCGCTGTGTTAAAAATGAAGAAATTTCATTTTTTAAAGAACTTTTTTATTTCAAAACGTATCGATTTGAAATTTGGACAAAATGTAGATCTTACTAATTACAATTAATCCAAAATTTTGTTTATATTTTAACGTAGGGGAAGGTGGGGGAAGTCTGCGCATCTAAGCAAAATCTCTAGTATCTTTGTTAAGTTTAAATGTGAAATTTTGCAATTAATACCAGCGATAGTCTATAGACTATGTTTACTATGTGTATATAATAAGCAATTTATAAAAAAAATTGTTTGGTATGCAAAAACTACATTTTTTAAAAATAATGCATTTGCGCAAAATAACCCACCTATCAGGGTAATTTTGCGCATCATAGGGGGAAAATTTGCGCTGTATAGAGAAAGATTTGTATAGGTATCTAAATAAACCGTTTATTTCTATAATATTATTATATTAAAATATAAAAATAAAACAAAACTATTTTCTCTATAAAATAAAACAAAACAAACAAAATCAAAAATAAATAACTAAAAATAAAATTTTTGTTTTTGAAATTAGAGGGGGGTCTACATGCAGCAGTTGTCACATATGTAGTTTTAGGGGTTGTTTTTTTAGCTACACTCCGCATGTGCCAAAATGGAACTGTTTATACTAAACAATCTAGGCTCCTGTACCAAAGCTCCCATATTGGCCAAATTTTGCAGCGCAAAATTACCCCAATTTTTCAGCGTAAAATTACCGCCATTGCAAGAAACATATTGTGATATTAAAAAACTTTCCAAAAGTTAACCTGAACAACAAACATACACCAGATTACGAGGAAAGATCATATAAAGTTGTGTTATAAACATTTAAGCGATTGGACAGAAATTTAAACTTAACTCATAGCGGATACGACTTGGATTTCTTAGATCAACGTACATGTACGTACATGTATCACAGTTTACTGGTCACTAGCTAAAACCTACAAGCTTAATTGCGGTACACTTTTGTCCCCGTATACCCAAAGCAACGTTTCCAAGGTTGCAACATTCAAAAAATGTATTATTTACTTCATATCTGGAAGAATTGTTTATGCGTAAAATTACCCACCGCGCAAAATTCCCCCACCTTCCCCTACAGGGGGTGCTGGTGATAATTTAGTTTAAAATTTAACAATTTTGAAATATAGGGTAAATAATCGAAAAAGCAACTTTGTTTTATGAATTTGAGTATAACACGCTAAAGTATTGATATTTAACTATTATTTGATACATTAACTTTTTTTATGCAAATGATGTTTCTGTGGCCAGGATCAGTTTTGAATTAGCAGTAGCAGTATTCATAAATGTTTAGTTTAGTACATTTTGTTATTTTTATAAAAATATTTTTGCATCTTTTATTAATAATTAAGTATAGCATAACACATAAATGAAGTTTAATATACAGGGTATTCCACGTACGTAGTCCGTTAGAAGTTTCTAGGGAATCGCGAAAGACATCGATTTAAAATTTTAATTGCGTATATTATTCGCTTTAGACTTTTTTCCTAAATTATTTATATATATTAATAATACTTTCTGTTTTACCGTCAACTTTTGGGTTTAAAGAATATGTATTTTGTGTAAATAATTGTTTTTGTTTTTTTACACAATAAAGGATTTTTATTATTATTATTATTATTATTATTATTATTATAATTCAAATTTGTCAAAAAAAAGTAATCAATTGTTGTTTTTTGTATTTATCATGTTGTCCGCAAAGAAAGTTTAATGGCTAGAATCTTACGTGAGGAATAGGGGGGGTCTACCACTTCTCACCAAGTCTCACCAAGGGGGAGAGAGGGGTCTAAATTATGAGAAAAATGCCTCACGTAATTAATGGATGTCCCCTTAGGAAACAGTTATTATAATACCAATCTAAAGATTCTTTAATGTTCTATTTGATTATGTTAAAATATATAGGGTTTTACATTTATAATAAAAACGTTATTATTGTTTGAAGTTTGCCTAATTTCAAGTGGTTTTTCTCAAGGTATTTGTTGAAAAACCTTTAACAAATTAAATTATTTAAACAATCTTTTAATATTCCAAAAATTCCAACCCCATGTCAGCAAACATAATAACAAAAAAATTAGAGGCTATTTTTGATTAAAGTGCATTTAGCAAAATTTTAACGAAAAAATTAATATCTTGAAAATTGTATATGCTATTAAAATTTAAAATCCATATCGTTTGCGTTTCTCCAAAAACACCTTGTCTAGCATTATATTAAATATAAAAAAATGCAAAATAACTAATTACAAAAAATCGAAAAACAACTGAATAAAAAATATAGATATATCTAAATAGCCGATTGCAACATAAAAATAAAGTCTTTATTCTAATTTATTGGGTAAATATTACTTTCCTCAGTTTGAAATTAAAATTGAAGCTTGGTTGTGGAGCAAAAATAAAATTAAAGTAGGTTATAATTTCTAACTTGCTGACACTTATTTAGTTTATTCATTTTAAGTTTATAGTATACTTATAAATTGAAACGCAATCAGTCATTTGCAACTTATTAACTGAACTGTCAAATTATCCTTCATGCTTCCAATGGTAGGTTACCATAGAAAAAAGTCTATGATGCCTACTATAATAAAAATTAGTAAACTTGAAAAAATTTAAAATTTATAAATAAAACTAATTTTAGCTCCATCTATGGCGATTTTTTTTAAATAAATATGTCAGAATTGTATGTTATATATAGTATATTATATGTAATATATAATGTTTAATATGTAATATATAATACATTATCTTATAAAACTAGATAAAATAATAAATAATTTGTAAAACATGTTAGTATTATGCTCTTTAAAGGCCTAACTTAAAAATGGTGTATCTCGTAGAAACATAATTTGCATGTAGAAGTTTATACAGCCTGTTCAGAATAAAACCGAATATATCTATATATATATATGGGGCGTGGCCTCGCCTCCCTCCAAGGCCCGTCACAGTTGCTTGTGTGATAAACGACATGACGAAAGGTCGAGCAGGTAAGGACTTAAAAAATTAAATGATAATAATGCAAAAAATCTCATTAGCGATGCAGTCTATTTGCTTAGCTACTGCGTCGCGCGTTGGAGGGAGGCGAGGCCACGCCCCATATATATATAGATATATTCGGTTTTAGTCTGAACGAGCTGTATATCAAATAATAGTTAATTATCAATACTTTAACGTGATATACTCAAAATTATAAAACAACATTGCTTCTTCGACTTTTCAACCCTTAAAAAATGGTAAAATTTTAAATTAATTTGTCTCCAGCGCCCCCTGTATGTTAAAATCTAAAAAAAAATACGTGGATTTATTGCCACTAATAAGGTCTACATATTATCCTAATTTCAAATCGATACGTTTTTAAATAAAAATGTTATTACAAAATATCGAAAATTATCTATTTTTAACACAGTAGAATGACTTAAGGCCTGAAAACCACAGCGGTCAATGAATGAAAAAAATGTACCAATTAGATGTAGAAACAAGATTAAAAAAATATATTCAATTCTGGGATCACTTGCAAACAAATGTCCAAAATGTGTTCGATTTTTACTCGAAACCATAGTTAACATGGTAACATTTCTATGCAACTCCTACACGCATAAGTGCATACGAATTTCATCGATTTCTTATCAAATACCTCTCCTATTTACGATGATCATAATGGATAAATCAATATTATTATTATTATTATTATAATTGATGTATTTTTAGCAAATAATATTTTCTTACTTAAAATCCAGTAATACAATTTTACTAAAACTTTGTAAATAACTTATTAGTCGACTTTTATGAAATTTGGACAGAATACTCAGATTGGTACAGTGTTGTCATTAAAATAAAAAATACAAAATTTCAACCACAATTAATAAATAAATGCATCAATATTGTTTAAGTCATAACTAAGCTTAAACTAGTAGATGTTATTTATATATGGTTTTTTTATTGGTAAAATAAAGAATTTTTTTTCCAAATTTGACAATTATTGATTAATTATTATAGTAACAACTGTTGTAATACAAATAAATAGAAGAGCCCGCGGCGGCGTAAAGACAACAAAGTACACGAGAATCGAAACTAAACTCGATTTATCACATAAAAAGCTTAATTGCAACAAATCATTTATTATCGGTAATTATTACTAAATGTGTTTACATTGTACACTGTACAATATAAAACAGGAATTTTATTTTAAAATAAAATGATTAGGTACCTTATCTTTTAACTTTTTTTTTGCTATCCACA